CGCGGGCAAGGTTTAAACTCGTTAATACCTACTTGGACGGGAAGCACTGCCCTAAGATTTCAGCGTTCTAGCTTCTCGAATTCCCGAGTTGTAAACTTACCCGAAAAAAATTTTGGCGGGCCCGTACTCGAGTACCACGCGACTGTTGGCGCCCATTTTGGCCATTGGAGCCGGCACGTGCATGTAGATAAGTTTTCGAGGTTTCAGCCCTGTAGCTTTTATAAGTCTTGAGATGAAAGTGCGTGACAGACGCACACACAGACACACAGACACACAGACGCACAGACACACAGACACACGGACACACAGACAAATCCTCGTCAATATGCATTTTCTGCATTGCGTAGCTGCAAAAAACGCATCAAAAAAGAGGAACTAAAATAATTTCTTTTCAGAAGTGAAGCTGACCATTGAGCAAGAAATTGTAGGAGATCGTGGGATGGTTTATCATCCTCGCGAACGATTCCTTCCACCGGTGGCGCAATCTCCTCAACTTTTTCTTGTTTTACTTTCAAAGTGCCTAAAAAAAGATGCACAAATAAGTGTATACAAACACTGCAACTTTTGCGACAAAAAAAAGCATCAGGGCCGTTTGGATTGCTGACGCAGGGTCTCGAAATTTGGTACTTTATTTATGTGTTGTTTCATCGTCAAGTTTTTTTCTAACCCCCGATGCAGCCCGATCCGGAAGTTTCGATTTGATCTTCGCTACTGGCTGTGCTTTAACACAATTTTTAAAGGTTAACCTGATCATACAAATGCCACCTGCGTCTGCACTGGTCCGCATGTCTTCAGCCAGAAATTGCAATTTACCTAAGTTTAAGCACTTCTCTTTCTGTGCACTATCTTCTCAGATCGTAGGATGGTCAGTCGAAATTTAAAACTGTATCGGTCACTGAGGTAAGTTATCAGAAACGTTACCTGAATCGCAACAAATGCCATCGACGACGTCATTTGCTTCCAGTAATTCATCCACGTCAACCGGTTCATCCATCTGCACATTTGGCGGCACATAATTAGCAACAGCAGCAGCTGCTGCCGCTGCTTGTTGCTGTTGCTCTTTGTAAGCACTTGGAATCAGGTCACCATGCATCGAGTGGAATGCAATCCCATAATTTGTTGGATCTTTGCGCTTATAATACTTGCATAATTTTTTGCACTGTTCGTACGTCAACGTATTCAAATGGGAATACTTCTTATTGATTTCTTCCGTAATTTGACGCCAAATTTTGTTACGTTCCAAATTTGCGGCAGGCGAACGTGATGCGCTATCCTGAAAAAGCTTCCGTGAGAAATATGCAGAATGAAGAACGAGGCGAAAAAAAAAAAACATGATTTTAAACTAGCATAACCGCAAACCTCTCCCTTACAACACTCGATTAGTGACACTTTGCTAAGTAGTAAACAACTGCTGGGAAGCATCAGTGCTTCCTTCTTCAGAAACAAATTAAAGCATAGGCGGAATCAGGACGGACTCTTGAAGAG